TACGTATGAATGTAAACACGATTGAATATAATATAAGCATGATAAAGCAAGACAAAAAGGAAATTTTAAAAAATGTATGAAAACGAACAAAAATATTTTAATTAAGTATATATGTATTATAGTAAAATATTGTAATTATGTATGTATGTATAACGTATATAATTATGTATATTAATATTGTCGTGTATAGGAGACTATCTGTAATTAGGATATCAATGTATGCACAAATATTTTTCACTGTATGTGTTAAAGTAACAAAAATTATGCATTTTGGCAAATCTAAAATTTATAACATTAATTTTTAATAATCTCAAAAATATTTTATCGCTATGTATTCATAAACTGTATTAGTATAAAACTAAATGACGATTACAGTCGATTAATAGTTAATAATATCAGCTTGAATAGCTTTTGCAGTCTTTATGTTGTACTGAACATATTATTCAGAAAAATAAAAGTGTATTAATGAAAAGAAGTTCTCGTTTACCCTGCTGCAACGGGTATTTTTTGTGAAGGCTTGAGAAGGGAATCGAACGACTGTGTTTCCCCTCTCTTGATTACGCCACTGGCTCGACCCAGCGAGGCAGCACGGACAACCGGGTGCGCTGTTGCCAAGCGGAAATCACAGACCTACGGCATTTTCTTCTTCCACGAAAAGGAAGACGAAGACATGTATTCGTTTGCCGTGTTGCCTTCTGCATCAACCAAGCTCAAAAACAACCATCTCCATAATTGTGCGTCAATTTATTAATTTTATTTAACAACACTATCCTCAATATAAACTGCCAGTAGTATCGATCGATGTAGTAAACTATCTGTACGTCATCTGTACTACCATCACCATCACTAACGTTAATCAACGTTAAAAAATATTTTTGTCGATTAGTCCATGTCCTTTTCAGACACAGCGAGGTAAATATAGGATTATATATAAATATATATATTAGTAAATACCAAACATTTTCTTTTATTCAAGATGAACCTCCTGTTTTAATAAGCCTTTCAATCAAATAAGGACGGTACATATATATATATACTATATACGATATAGAAATGCTACAGATTATTGCACTAATTTGTATTCAAAAATCGACATGTGTAATAAGTGAAATTCTGGAATAACCAGAAAATGATTTTAGCATTTACTTTCACTGTTACTACTACAATATCGATAATCGACACGTTTTATAAACGTCAGAGAAATTGCGATAAATCGACTGGAATGTCATTTTCCAGTATTTCTGCACTAACAATAACAAGAATTTAAATTATCTATCTTTTCAATACACATACTGATCGTTTGATTATAGCGAACTATTTATATACATTGCTAATTTTAAGAATATACATAGAATATACATACATGTACTACTTGAAACGATTAAATAATCATCAAATCAAAAATAAATAAAATATTACAGTTCTGACATTCTCAAGAAATATTGTTTTATATAATACACATTACAAAAATCCGTAATGTTCGATATTTCAACAATAGAACATCTATAAATATTGCATTGCTGATTATTATAGATAAATTTTATATTTTCACAGATCAATAATATGTACATAGTACTTGAAATATCAGATCCTAAATTAAAATAACTTTTAACTCACAAAAGATCATTATTAATTTCATTTTATTTTATTTATTATAAATGCGTAACTTTTGCGAAATCTTTCAATTAAGTTAAAAAAAATGCTTAACAGACGTCCATAAATTTATCAAAAGAATTTATATAAACATCTTTTCCTTTGATCAAGTTTTTTTGAGCAAGTAATTTTGATTTTCTTAAAAATTTGGGTTTTTCATCGATTAGAAATTTTTAGCAATATATGCATAAAACTATGCTTCTGTATGTCTAATCAGTTCTGTTAATTATCTGTAACACTGTTCTATTCCTTATTATCCAATATCCATTGCTATTGAGGATAGTGCGTACGGAACAAAGTTTCGCAGGAAGTGATTAGTATTTCAACTGCGTAAAACTACTATTTAGACTTCTTGCTACTCATCATCTGATACAAGCTAAATTTAGTGAGAATAAAGATTTATTTAATGAAAACAAATTCTAACGAACGAAAAAATCAATATCAACTTATATGTATATAATACAATTTCTGCAAAAATTCATAAAAAAGAAAGATTTGATGAATTAACATTTTTTAACTAACATATATAATTTATTAGATCTTACTAACAGTTTACAGAATGCTTTTTTAAACCTATTTCTTAAATAATTCAATCAACGAAAAAGTATATCATATATATGAAAACGTTTGTAAGAATAAATTCTTTGCATAAGAACTTTGAAATAAATGAGCACTGTTCTTTCAAAAAACTTATGCAACCAAGTTACACAAAGTTAAAAGTATGAGACGGTTAAATACAAGATAAATTATATTTCATTAATATATAAGGATCAAAACTAGTTTACTTATCTTTTAAAGTTCGAAATAAAATAATATTACTAAAAATATTATTATTTTATATGCTTTCTGCACGCTACTCTTCGCATAGAAGAAATAATTGCAAAGCTAAATTTGAAAGTGTACAAATGCAAGATTAAATTATTACATGTATTACGATTATTCCTCGATGTTTCAGATACTGCCTCAGAAGTGAAACGCGTGCCTTTTAAAGTAACAGATTAAATATACGCTTTTGCTTAAAAAAGGAAGTATGTTCTGACGATATCCAACTTAACGACCTCGAAAAAATCACGTAAATCACGGTTTTATAAAATCTCTTCGTGATGATTTTCAAGTAAAGGAAAATTAAAGCAACAATTGTACACTATAAAAAGAAGAGCTTGTACGTGAGTGCTTATTCCCTGTTAATGTCGTTAGCGTATCGAGACAAGAATATCGATGGAGCAATACCACAGTGGTCAGTTTCGACAAATCCACGTTGAAAAAAAAGTCAATATGAAATGGAGGTCGATAGCGTGATGACCTCGAAGCCAATCGGGAATTTTACAATGCCGTGGCCTCTCGCACGAAAGATACATGCTCATGGTATATATATAAGGATGCTCTGTTGCCACGTCTTGATTCAGTATAGACTACAAACCAATAAAATAAGTTTTCCTCATGAATCCTTGGCTTTACGCTGCACTATTGATGAATCTTAAGGCAACGTCAACGATATGAGCATATCTCTTTATTTTACGTGAACCACTCGCTTTAGTCCTCTCATGAGGTGATCAAAATTAATATGTATTATTATATGTTTGTTGTTATTATATATATTAAATACATACTATGTATGTATATTCAATTTGGATTGTCCGCGACCAGACCAACTATTAATCAATAATTAAACTTGTAACATTAAAAATTGAATAGCTTTGGTAGGAAAAATTAATTACAATTTATTTCATTTAAAGAATTACACAATAAAAATATACTTAACTTAAGAAGATCTTTTTCTTAGGTGTTCTCAATTGCATACATGTGACTTAAGAATACAAACTACAACGCGAATAACGACTATCAACAGGTTTAAGGACTGGTGCAAATAAATGCTGCAACATGGTATGGTTACGATTCCGCATTAGTGACACTGTACGTTTTAGCAGATTTATATTTCAATAAGAGAATCATTCACTTGTTTGTATTGCACCATTCGAAGGATGAATCTTCTTCAAATTGTGACGATGTACACAGATCGGAATATGTGATAGAAATATGACAACCACGCGACAAATGTAAAATCGTTCTAGGATCTGTTTTGACAATTACATTTTCAAGGAAATTAGGAAATCACAAATATATCAAATGTATATGATCAACTTTCTGCGAGGTAGAAGATATTAAGACTATATTGTATCGAAAACAAACGATACAAAGGAGAAACAAATAATATTCCGGATTCCTATAGATAAAAACCCATTGTCAGCAATATGTATGTAGAATCTATTTAGATATTTTTACTCTTCACTAAACTTTTGTGAAGATCATCGTCGATGTTTCACGGTCTATATCATATAAACATTAAAATTTTGATTGTTACATTAGATTATATTGTTTTGTATGCACGTATGTAATATTATAATATATGTAACTATGCATGTATGTAATATTATAATTATAAATATATATAATGTACGCGCACATTAGAGACTTGATTTTTCCACAACCAAATAATAATCTTAACATAGAAAGAGTAAGTCTAACGTTTGCATACGTATGTAAGGACATAGATATATCATGAACATAGATAAGGTAAAATTGAGGAGAGTACTCCGCAATTTAATTTGTCACTTTATCTCAAATGGAGTAGGTTTTGTATAATTTGTTCGTAAAACAAAGAATAAAATGAAAATAACCTCCAGTTTACATGGAAATCCGAGGAAAATATACCAAACTGTTTCGCATGCAAAAGATTAAATTCAAATGGAAACTTTTAAAAAGATGCTATTTGAATTATATTGAATTAAATGAAATTGTATAAAGAGAAAATTGAATGTTTTTTCTAAACCGTTTTAAATCAAACCGTTATTTGTATAATATGTATACGTACATATGTTTTATATGTATATACATATATAACATGTTCATATTTTTCAATTTTACCAATTTCTGTGATTAAACCATAAAGAAATAAAGCTGCTTACACGATCAGTATCTAACTACTCATATGTTCTATGACTACTTTGCTCATGTGTTTGTATTTTACGTATTTATCGGAAACTTAAATATGTAAATACTTGTTTAATTGTGTACATAAAAATATAAATTTGCATAAGTATTCACAATCTACGAATAAATATTAGAAAACTTGCATACGAAATTAAAACATGTACATCTGTTAGAGGGCAGCACAAGATAATCAGTTACAGATCAAAAATGGACAAAATGAGCGCTGCGAGCAAACCGGTCGACGTGTTCTTGATACGAAGGTTTTCATGAAGTACAAATTTTATACTTAATGTTTGTTATAATAAAAATTACTTGAATAATATACAAGTTGTACTCAATACAAAATGAAAGCTTACCTCCTTTTTCTGTTTATATCTTGAATACATAGTAAAATTCAAATTGTAACTGCTGTATCCAACCTCTAACAATATAACCGACAGGGTGAAGACTCGAGATTTTAACTCTCAAAAGAAAGTCACTTGTCGCTTCATAGTAATTATGCACTCACTTTTTCGACACTATCACCCCGTAAATTTTTCTTTTTGAAACAAAGATAATAATTTCACGAACACTTTTTCAACGACATATTCAGGAACGAAATTGTCAATCACGGAACAACCGCATGGCATGGCGACCGCGGTTACAACTCGACGTATATGTACAGTGTTTTAAACGATACGTCACATCCTTAATCCTTGATACTATTGGTTGCTTTCAAAAGAATCAACCAATCAGTTTTGGAAGTTCTTATTACGCGGGAAAGTAAAGTAAATTCCGTTAGAAGTGTTGAAGATACATTTAAGAAGTCAAGCATATGCTTTTTTCTTGACAAGTTTAGATACATATCAACCTAAAGACAAATGTAACACTTTTCTTAGAAGAAGTAAATATAAAAGTCAAATAAAAAATTATTATCGTATAAATTACATAAAACAATAATGAACACATATACTTTGATTATATGCAGCCGCCATTGCTCCACTATTTAGGTCGGATTCAAACGTCTATTGCTTTAACTGTATTATATGTATATTATTTATAACATACTTGCGAAAAGAAAATTAGTTTCACTACTTCACTATATGCACATATGTATATAGTACTATTTATAGTATATATTGTATAGCTAGCTGTATTAATCTATAATATATTAATAATCATATTAATATTAATACATATAGAATAAAATTGTTTATGTCAAACTAAAAAAGCAATATTAATACAATATAAAAGTTGGACAAACGAAAAAGCATATATATTCTATATATTTGTTTAATGAAAATAAAAATGGATTTTAATGTATAAAAATATACATATCTTGATATATGCACATATACATATGTACATATATAAAATATGTTAATTCATATATTTCTATACGTAAATAAATGTCAATGCAAATTTTTAAAAAATGCTGTTTTTAAATATTATTGTTTATACGTACTTACATAAGTACATACATGTGTAAGTATGTATATACATATTTACTACACAAGTATATGTAATTGACATTTTTATTAGTAGTTATTAGTATTTACAAAAATAGCATAGCATATGCAATGACATTTTTATTAGCGGTTATTAGTATATACAAAGATAACATTTAAATAAATTTTACTTCGCTAATTATGAACAGTAACAACATACAGTATTTTTAAGAAGCACTAAAACGAAATTAATTTATGTAAGTAAATCAATTATTATATTTATTGTTAGATGTAATAAGTGAAAAAAATTAATTGGAAAATTTGGAGTGAATAGGAGGGGCATTCATAGTAACGCGTAACTTTAAAAGATGGCAGCACCTGAAATACGCGTACCTCAGCTTGATATGTAGATTATAGAATTTGAAAGCTTTCATGTAAACTTTTTATAATTTATGAAAAATTAACAAATGAAATGAAAATTAAAACGTCCTTATTATTTGAAATACAGGGTGATCTAGGATTAACAGATGTTTATTAAACCTATAACCAAATGATGAATTATTTAAATAATTCGATAGGTGGTGCAGTGACTGGTGATTCTGGTTTACAATTGAACAATGTAGAAATATTATATACTAAAGTGCAAAGAGTTTATATGAAGCCACAAAATAAAGAAGAACGTCAACGTGAACTGAGGGTTAATGTGGAATGCCATGCGGGTATTAGTCCTGTATGTCGCAAGGTAGCATACATTTTAATGTTTGCATTAGCCTGTAATTTGTTGATATACTAAAGGATAGTTGGAGATATATTTTTATTATTTAATAATATATTGTGTATTTATATTACAGAGTTTATGTGTTTTATTAGCAGATGACGATGATCCTTGTTTCCTTTATTCCTTATTCATCACAGAAGATGATTTCAAAATTTTGAAATCTCAACAAGGATTATTAGTAGATTTTGATAATTTTGCGACTCAACTAATATATTTATTAGAGCAATGTCAAATACCTGCTACAAATCTATCAAAATCACCACCAAAGTTTTTGTTGTTATTAGCAGAAGAAGGTGGAGAATGGATGTTAAAATTGGTTGAAACAAATAATTTTAAACATTTATGTCATTTGAGCCTAAATATATCACCTGCAAGTGATTCAGATTTGAAAACGCACATGGCCATGAAAATTAAACAGTTGAAAGAAAATATTTTACAACAAAATAGAGATGCACTTGCACTTGAAACAAGATTGAATGACTTATTAAATAAAGTAGAAACAAAAACTAGGGAATTGGACCAATTGGAACAAAAGTATGTAACAGAAAAAAATCAAATGCAAATACTTTCATCGGAACAAATAGGCCTTGAAAAAGATAAGTATGTAACAACATTCATATAATTATGTGTGGTCATATATATGAAATATTTATTAAGGATTTCTAAATTTCGATAGGTTTGCCAAAGCACAGTTAGAGTGGCAGTGTCAAGGTGAAAAACAAAAAATAGAAATAGAACGTAGGCATACAGAAATAATAAAACAGCTTCATACTGAACTGGCAGAATTACGTACACAAAATTCAACGTACAAAGATAAGTTATCTCTTCTTGAAGCAACTAATGTGGAACAACTTAAACAGCTGCAAAATCTTGAAAAAGACCTTAATATTACTCAGAGAGATTTGAATCTACTGAAAAAACAAAATTCTAAATTAGATACAGATTATCATGACAAAGATAAAACAGTAAATAGTTTGAGAACAAAAGTTGCTGTACTTGAACAAGAATTAAAAGATAAAGGTATACTTATTACCAAACATACCGAAATGTTAAAAACTGCCAAAGAACAGAAACAGCACCTTGAAGATCTTTTAACTGAAAAAGAAGGTCAGTTACAACGCAAACAAAATTCTTTACGAAATTTAAGTGATGACTTGGTTAAGGCTAATGAAATATTAACAAAATTACAAAACGAACTTGCTTCCACAAAATCTAAATTAAAATTAAGAACCAGTATAGCACTTGAACAAGAAAGGTTATTAGATACTAAACAAAAAGAAGTTGGTCAATTAGAAAACAAAATGGAAAATTTAGTGAAAGAAACAAAAGATGCAAAAACAGAAATTGAGAATTTGAAAGAACAGCTCAAAATTCAACAGAATCAGTTAGAGGAGAAAGAAAAGATAATAAAGAATAATGATAATGGTAATTGAGTATTTTTAATACATTTTATTATAAAATTTTTGATTAATGATGTATACACAGAGTAATAATTTAAAATTATTAAATATTATTAGTTATATTATTTTTGTTTCTGTAATATTTAATATTTTTATATTTAATATTATTCAGAAAAATAATATTTAGTATTCTATTTTAGTATCTTAAAAGAGATTGCATTATATATTTAATATTATTATTTTATATTCTTGCAGTAATAAGTTGGTTAAATCGACGATTAGCAGATAGCCAATCTCCACTACAAAATGCTACTGTAACAGCACCAATTACAGTACCATCTTCGACTCATTTAACATTACCTCGAACGAATAAATTAGTTAGTAATAAATATGAAACACGTACATCTGCACCCAATATAGTACAATCGAATGCATTATCTGGATTACCACTGAGAAATCCCATTGTACAAAATCCAAATATTAATCAAACCACACGTATGACAGCACGATCAATGGGTGTTGGTATTACTGATAATACAATGGGCATATCAACGTTTAATAAAAGTGGTCAAATTTCGAGTACTAGTACACCTATGGAACGTATCAATTCTTTGAACAAGTTATCTGGAAATATCGCAGGTTCGTCTTTGGTACCAGTCGCTGTAGAAAATAATAATTCATCTGTACCACCAAATGGTACAAAGATAAAAAGTACAAGTGTTACACTACAGAGTGGATTAAGAAGGGCAGGTTTATCTGATAAGCCAATTTTACCATCTGCATATTTTCCTAAAACATTACATTGATTAAATATACAACAAAGACTATCAGTAGTAATTATACATCAAAGTTGTGATGCCATATAAAAACATATCAGAATATAATATTATGTATAGTATAAATGGTTATTATTTCAAGTTTAATGTTGGAAAACAGTACAAAATAGTTATGCAAAGCAAATGATGTTAAAACATTTTGAATTTTATATCTAAAGATATTGTTTTTATAAATTTATATGCATGTATTATGAGGAAATGATAGACATACTCATTTCTTATTATTTTTCCTGTCTACGCGATTTAATTCGGTGTTTATTGCTAAAAGATAATAATGTAATAAAAATCATAAGAATCTATATTTTTGCAAGTACGTACTTTGCTTCTATATTCGCTAAAAAAAAAAAGTAAATGTTGGGAAGCATAATCATCTCAGATATGATAACAAATAATATAGAATATTAATTACTAATCATCACATGCACATAATATTTTTTAATAACACTATGTCAATTCATCACTGTTTTTATATAGCTACTTTATCGTGGATTTCAAATTTTAAATCAACAAAATGCTATATAAGGATTCAATTAACATTTTGTCTCAAAATTAAATACTGCTTGTTATTATAGTCCATAAAATCATAATCTTATTCTTTAAATAGGTACCTGGGAAAGCTTTTATCGTACAGATTAAAGTGTGTATATATCGTAGTTGTTACAAATTTTTTAAGCTATGTTAATCTCTAGTAAACTGAATAAATGTATTGAATAATTGGAATGTCTTATGATAAAATTAGATTAGCAGGATTTGTTATAAATTTACATTTAGTAAAATTCATGTAATATTGTCTTAAAATAAATGTATATTTTTTATAACTTTGTAATAATAAAAGCGATTTGTACGTATTTTGTATCAGGTATTTTCAGAAATAGTCGTATTTATCAGATGTAACATAATATTTTTTCAGTATTTTTAAAATAGATAACGAAAATAAGATGTTGATATAAATAAAATGAACTAGAAGCTTCAACAAATTGTACAATTTTTATAAATACTAGGCGTCCTAAAATATTGGCAACAAACTTTAGGAGCATGTAGTTACTCATGAGAACAAACAGGAAGGTCTTAATAAACAGGAGTCAAAAAACCATTAGTTTCGGAATTACAAGATGTTTTTATCAGTAAGACATTATTACCTTTACGGCATACATATGTTCAATACGTTCTCCGTTAGTTTCAATACACACTTCGACATATTTCCTCATAGAAGCGCGCACATGTTGAAAGATCCCCGGCATTTCTCTTATATATCTCTTGGCAGCAGTTTTCGATTCGTTGTATTATCTCATTTACGAAGCAACTGGTTTACTATGCATTATTTTTTGTACACTAAACATCTCGTAATTCCAAAATTATTGGTTTTTCGACCCATGCTCATTAAGACATTTTTGCTTATTTTGATGATTATTACGTGCTTCTAAAGTTTGTTCCTAACATTTTAAAACACCCTGTATAACAAAAACTGTAAATATATCAAGAATATGTAAGAATAACAAATTAAAGTAATTGTAACATTTTATTATTCAAGAATCTCTTAATATTTGTTTTTCTACAATTTTTTATATGGTTATTTATACAAATTTTGCTTATATATTTTCTTTCAGACATGAAATATTTCTAGTCTACAAGGTATTTGATACATATATTTCAATTTTTTCAATAATACAATAATGAAATTTCACTAAATTTCATATGCTAGTTATATGTGTATATATATATATATATATACAAAAAATATAATTGCATGTTTTTATGTATCAAATTCTTATTAATGTTTAAAAACATTACGACGATTAAGTTTTATCAGTACACATGTAAAATATGTATTTGCTGGGTATAAGCCATACTGAAAGAGATTTGTTACATCATATGGATGGATACATATAATAACAGTATTAAATACAATAAATATAAAATAACTTAATAAATGATTGATATATTTTATTACCTTTTGTACATAAAATTTTAATAAAATATATATTACATAAATATATGTACATATTTCTTACATACATTCTAAAATGTATCTCAAAAAATTAATAGAACTTGCAGCACACTTTTAACATATTGCAGATATGGAAATGAGAATTTTAAATATTAAATGTACAGAGTTTTCTTTATTAGTTATTACAAATGTAGTACTGAGAAATTATATAAAGCAGAAATAACAATTATTTACAAGTATAATGCCAATATACACTATTCTTGATTTAAGTGTACACGCGCTATTAGTATTTCTTTAACTAGTGAAAATACCAAAAAATATTTTGTATGAAAGCTGTTGAATTACATACTCGAAAGTTAATGAAATATATAGACCTGTTTTCAAGTGAAATTATACATTTTTATTACTACTGTCACCATTTTCTTTAATATTTCAAAATGAATTCAACGAGTATAACGTGTATATTTGAAGAATAATTTGTTGAATATCTAACACTTAAACTGGGCTTGTTATATACTTATAAAATATTGAATTATTGGACTTCATAAAAGTAAATTTTAATGAAAATATATTCTATCAATAATTAATTTACAAGGAAGAAAATATTATAAACACTTTGTACATAAAAAATAAAAATACGTGATTTATTAAAAATTCTATTTATTAGTTTATATCAACTGAAAATGTTGGTGCATCACTCAGTGACAATTCTGTACATCCCACATCTAAGAGCGGGAGATCCATTCGTTTGCGTCTCCGTTCACACTTTGGACATGGTTTATAAGCATTTAAACATTCTGTGTGAAATACTGCATTACAGGCTCCACACTAAAATTACATAATATCTAATAACTTATTAAACTAGATTTTATTTAAACTAGATTAAACTATTTTTATACAATTATAATAAAAACATTTACTCACTCTGTATGTAGATTCCATGTCAAAAGGATAAATAACTTTTGGATTATTGCAAATTTCACATATAAAACCTTTCTGACTACAAAGCCAACAATTTATAACATGATTTCTTGCAAATTCTACTACTTTCTGCAGTTGTTGTGCAAGAATTCCATTGGATATATCATAAAGGTCAGAAACAGAATATTGATGAACATGTTCATACAAGTAATCTCTAGGTGCAACTTTTTTCTGTAAGGACTCGATTATAGGTTCACGACATGTAAATAAATAAGCTCTTAATAAATTTAATTGAATTCTTAATGACTGTAATTGTGCCATACTATCTACAGCCATATAAATTCGTGGATTTAAGACTTTAAGATCTAGTAGCGTAGGACAATCTTGTAAATATGCTGCAGCCTTATTGCAAACAGGGTAACATTTTAAATCCCAATTATGAATTACTCGTGATGGAATTAGATATTCATTTTGTGACATACAGTTTAAACAATAATAGTTACCAGAGAAAGAGCAAACATGTGCTTTTGAAAAGGTCATACCAATTGCATGGCCACATTCAAAACAACTATAATCTTGTACATCCAAACCTTCCTCTTTGGGAAGTTTACCCAGTTGTTCGTCAAAATTTATTGCAGCTTTATTTTCTGATTGAATTTTGATTCCATCATTAGATTGTTGCTTTTTTGGATATTTTTTTAAAAATTCTTGAAGATCTATGACTGATGCATTTCCAACAGTATGATAGCTTTGAATAATTGCATCATACGTAGGTCCATCACCAGGAGTACGAGCTGCATTTGTTCCAGAGTCATGAGATACTGCAGATGAAGTTAACGAAGATTCACAATCTTCAAATGACGTAGACCAACCCAATCTTCCAATTAATGAATTCCCTACTGTAGTTGAAACAATATTTTGCAACGTTTCATGATTCTCTACAATATGTCCAACCCCTAAATCTTCGATATTGTTGCATATATTAATTTCTGTATTATATTTTGGACTGCCATTATTTGAAATTTCCTTTTCTATTTCTTCTCCTGTTTGTAAATCCTGTTCTTCTTCTTCCTCCTTCAAAGACGGAGTTCCTCTTGAATTATTGGTTAAATGATCTATACCAATGTTATTTGATTTCTTATTAGCTAGTATAATTTTTAAAGCTTCATCTTCTGTGATACAACCTGCATTATTAAGAGCAGACTGTGATGAATTAAATGAACCTAAACTACCAATAGAGCTAGCAGTTTCAACTTCATCAAAATTGTCACCATCTGTTAATTCTGTAGTTATTGTTTTTGCAATATCTACTGCACTAAATATTGGACAAGATTTCATCGGTGGTGACCATATGCCTGCTAATAGAAGAGGAGTATTTGACCAAAAATTTAATAAGCTACTATTACAAGCTAGTTTAAAGCATATGTTGTCTAAACTTTCAATTAGTCTCTGTGCAACTTCAACAAGGTCTGTATCTCTAATGAATGCAGATCGATTGTAGTATGGCTTTAAAGCTGAATTATCTCTTTTAATGGAACAAAAATAGCTAGCTAAAAGGCCTTCGTTTAAAGCTAATCGTATCCAAGCTCTGCAATATCCAACTTCTGTCGTAAGCTGACTTAATGTCTGTATTTGATCTATAATTTGTCGATGTGAAAATACCAACAGCGGACCCCAAAAACTTGGCTGTGGCACTGCATTGAAATCTGGGCCGCTTAAAACTTCTGTTACTCGATTTAGAAGACTGTCTTTTAATCCATGTAGGAAGATAGCTTCCAAAACGGAGCACAGGGTCATACTTTCGTCGCAATTGCCAACTGCATCGTTTTCCTCCACTCCTGGTGCACTTTGCATTTCCATCACGCTGATATTTAACTGTTTTTGCAACGATTCTCTGATTAATACAATTCTCTTGTTCATCATTGGATTGACTGTTTTCAAAAACGAATTCATCTTTTCGAATTTGACGTTTCACAAGAGTAGTAGTTGCGCTATTATAGTTTGCTCTTTCAAGCATCTTTATGATTATAATAGAAAAAGTTACCTAAATTTTAGAAGGTAACTCGATGAAATCACTAACTGTGGTAATGAGACGTAGTAGATATTATGTAAATTACATTGGCAGAACTCGTACATTACGCTGATACTAACAAAGAAACAAGGAAGTACGGTCAGAAAAAATACAAATCACAACGTGATAAGAAAAGCACGCGAACTTCGAACCAGTAATAACGCATGACAACGTAATCTCTTGATGAATGTGTGAGAAATAGGTTACATCACACAATAACAAACTATTCAACCGTGTTTACTTTATATTTAACTTAAAAATTTACAAGCATTATCTTAAGATACGAACAACTAAATCAATTTTTAACATAATGATGATTCGTTACTTTCTGACACTTGAAACATTCCTTGGGTATTCTTATACACAGATTATGAATCAGCAGCATTTCCGTCAGCTTCGTACTTTTCTTTGATAGTAATACGTATCAAAGCGATAGATTGCGCTGATATACATCAATGTGTCCTGTATCAGCTAGTGGTGACATTTGACATTGATATATATATTCGAAAATGTTTTTAATACAAGCTAGTAATATTAATTAAGTATCAATAAATGTGCTTTAATATGTTAATAATAAATATTTAACAAATGATATTGTAGTTATTTGTTTCATTAACTCATTGATCGGTAGATGTAGTAGATGACAATTCGTTTTATTTACTATGGTAATACGTTTTACTTATTTCAATAAAAAGGAATGATTATTACAGTTTATAGTTAAAATTTTCGTTTTGTTTATAGATCAGTATTTATAATACTAAAATCTTTGAAGCAAAATTATAGCTTTATATTCTTTAAATGATGTTCTTAATTTCGATAATTTGACATTAAAATTTAAATTGCAATAGAAATTGGAAAATAGATATAATAAATAAGAAATGTAAGAAATAATATTATGGCATAGTAAGTAATAGTAAATGGCATATAATTTGACTATACATATTTCCTTACCGCGAGTAATGTTTTTTTCCTATGCATATTTCTTTTCATATATTATGGAAATCTATTGAATTTTATGTTTGTACACAATTAGCTTCATTGTGCTAGAACGTTACCAAAATTTTATCACTGGAATCAGTTTCTGAAATATCGGACAAGCATTAAACAGTCTTAGAAAAAAATTAATTTATCAAATATATAGGAGTTGCTTTAGATTCTATAATCAAGTTTCCATTGCTACACCGTTCCTATATTTAGATATACATTTAGCTTAGAGTATCTCAAATGTTGGAACAGGTATATGTACGTACATACATACTTGTGTGAACGACCGAATACCGAATACGCATGATAGGACAATGAGTGTTCTGAAGTGTTCTTAGTTTGACGGCGGTAGAGCTCTGGTATGGTAAAGAAGAGAGACAGAGGAAAAAAGTAAGCAAGTTGAACACGAGGACAGCGAAGCAAATACTAGAATCAGGGCCGTAGCATTCTATTGATTATTATTCCATATTTCCAAACTTTTATTCTGAACCTTATTAAGGAAATGAACGTTGTGAATGTATATGAAGTGCATTGCATTCGAAATATCAATTGCATTATCAAATGCATTAATACATTTTCCCTATAACATTTTGAGGAAACGTCGAGAAATGTTAAGAAATCTGATAATGTAGGATGTAGAGTATGATAAAAATGTATATATTACATTGTAAATTTAAACAATTTTCTTTCTGCAAATAAAAGAATAGTGCCCCGATGTCGGCATTTCCCTTCTACACATTAGAAACAAGAAACAATACATTTTCTCACGAGTTACCGGTGTATAGGTGAGGTGCCTTTATGGTATTTTATTAAGTTACAAAGTTGGCAGAATATAATTTTGGAGCGAAAAATGATTTGCATGGGAGCATATTTATATTTTTGACTTTTCATGAAATATAATGTAATTGAATATATGTAAGAAATTCAAGTGTTTTATTTATTATTGAAAAATAATATTTCGTGTTAATAATAAGAGAAACAAGCGTAGTTGTAGATCAAAAGTTCTATCATAATACAAAACGTTGGGGCCACGGGTATAGGAACAAAAAAAAAAAATTTTAAGGATTACGGTATGCAGGCGGAAAATGTCAAAGCAACGTCGTTTTTATTTACGGCACTGACAATGAGAGGTCAGGTGGTGGAAGTAGTGGGGAGGACAGAGACGTAGGGTGTCTGGTCGTTTGGTCGGTGCGCGCTGCGCGCGGAACAGTGATGATTCGACTGGTCAAGATGTTGGTCTGTGTTGTATATGTAATCGTTACTGGTTGATCGATGATAAGAGAGCGTGTGCGTTTTGTTTCAACCCGTACGCGGTTCCGAATACTGTTTGCCAATTGACATTTGGAAGTTGTATTGGAAACGCTTGCTCTTTTAATAACAGATAAGTTGTTTGACAGTGTTTAATGTCGCGACACCGTTATCGAGCGATCTCAGAGTGCTCGTATGTCATGGATGTGAAGAAGTAGGCGTTGTCTGTGTTAAATGCCAAAATCAAATATAACATGACATCCCGCAGAACAAGGGAATGTAATATCATAGTGTATAAGTTGGCGGAAAAACGCGTTGCAGCGGTGGCAGTAGTAGCAGCAAAAGAAGAAAAAGAAGAAGAGGAAGGAGGAGGAGGAGGAGGAGAAGGAGGAGGAGGAGCAGAAGAGAATCGTTGTTACGTCGTTCAGGGTGCGCTGAATAATTGATTTCTTGAAGAAAAGTAAAAATATCTTGCTATAGACTATAGACTAGAGACTACAGACTACAGACTATAGACGCAAGGTCTTCGAAACTGTAGGGTATCGTTAAATGAACGTAGAAGTAGAGATGTTACCTTCGAACACGCTCGAGGTGGAAGTCGGGAGTTCATCGCCTCCGAGAGAATACGAAACGAGCAATAAAAGTCTCCTCTTGGAGACGATCCCTGGCGAGTCGCATACCGAAACAACAGCTTGTCGTTTGTTAGAGGCGGAGGTCGTTGGTCGATGTCAGGAGGAAAGCAACGAGACGGTTAAAACTAAAACTATCCTCGAGTCCGAGTGTTGGAAAAAGAATATCGAATCAGCTGGTAGTAGCAGGTCCGTAAATAATGGATCACGTCAGAGCTTTTCCAAGGTTTCCGCATCCTTGCAGAGCCTCGTTCGTCGAAAGAGTCGGAAATACGGCGCGTCCTCGTTACCCTTGGACGTAGATATTTCGACGTACTCTGCACATCCTAGCTGTCTTCTCGAGGCACCAAGGGAAAATGGTGTCGTCGATATTTACAAAAGAAACGGCGAGGAAACCACTTGCATCACCACGCGCACATCGACACTTATTTATGCTTCTTCCGTGCAACTATATTCCAGAGGTGACAACAACGTGCAAGATGTTTCCTCGTCGACGAATAACGTCGCGATCGTCACTACTACCACCAGTACCAACAACGTAACTTGTTCGGTCAGTGGAAGTCGTCTTGGTAATACCGCCTCGTCTTTGATAAGAACAACCAGCGTGATCACGGCAGGACCTTCCACATCTTCCTGGAACAATTCCGCGGAAGAGGAGTTGGATTACGTTGTCGACCCGGTTCAAGGAAATGCCTATTACAAGGGACAACTTCTTGGCAAGGTAAAAACCTTACACAAATAAAAGGCAAACACCTGTCGAATATCGATTTTTCTTCCCTATCCTTACCTCAAGTAAGGTTTCCTAATTTTAAAGATTTAGTCTCTAATTTTTACGTGATTATTCACAACATGTTAATGTTTAATAACAATGTTTAATAACATTGAGAATATGGTGTGTAACGCGCAATATTCGTTTTTGTTGGTTGCTGCTTAAATTGATATACATATTTTGATATTAAGATTACTATTATAGTGATTATTTACGTCTGCTACTTACAATGCTCTATGTTACAATGCCCAATGTTGTCTCTTTGTTACGACATGAAAACATAAATATAAGATAAATTTGAGTATTTCGAAATTCTTGTTTACATTTGGTAATTTAGTATTTAGATTGAAGAGCAGAAAATATATGAAGTGGTCGATGGTTAATTAGAAACACTAAATTACCTTACTGAGTAATATGATTTAAAATCTAAATACGATTAGTTACCAACTGTACCAAGTAAGTATTTACACACATATGTTATTAGTCAATTAACAAGTACACTTAAGATGTTTAGATATGAGAATATTTTGTATGTGTATATACATTTGTGCATATATTGCCTGTATATATACATCGTAGGTACTATGAGGTCACATTGGTAACTCGTCTTAGATCTTTGTTTTTCGTTTACTTGATTACTAATTTCTCGTGTTGCCAACATCGTAAGCAGTTCATATTTCGTTAAATAGTACTTATCTTTCTATAACACTTTCCATACGCTATATACTATACGTAGTATATAGTACCTACTAATTCGTTATTTTACGAAATTATAATTTCAATTCCGTTTACCGTATCATCTGATTGTAGTTGTATGGGTCTAGTTGTCTCTTAATTGCATTCTATATATCATAGCGAGATATAGCCTTGTGTTTGTTTCCCAATGATTAATTATATTCTGAATGCTCGAAAACCGAAAATCGAAGGAACCACTTGGTATCCGTTTTTGCTTATCAACAATTTTAATGTAAAATGTTTAGAGAACGTTTTGTTACCATAGTGGAACCTATTTATTTCAAAGGAAGCTTATGGTAAGCAAAGAATCGTGAGAGAAGCAATGATCTACAATGTCTAACTACACTACACACACACACACACACACACAAATCTACACTAATGATAAGTAAATATGTAAATTGTAAAGAGTTCAAGGGAAAAACGATCATAATTGAATTGAAATCTTCAAAATCTTCATCTCGTGTCGATCGAAGCGTATCTCGCATATATTATATTACGATTACGTAATCTTCTTGATGTTCCTGAATCCTGATGGAGTGATTTTACGACATTTGGCAAGCGAAATCTGATAAAAATTCTAAATATCTGAAGAGCATCGGTGAGGATCGATCGGCATCGGTTCACGTTCACAGCTTGTAGTTGTAAGGAATATTCTTTGTCTCTGGCTGGTGCGGTGCGATCGATCGGTAGCAAGATGCGAGTTTGCGAGGCTTCTCGTCGTTCTTGTCAACGGGAAAGAGGAAAGAGAGAGACAGGCGATTTCAGAGGATGTACAATGTATGTATATACTCTGAAACTCAAACTGTGTATCCTCTATGTATCCTCTACTCGAGAAAACCGGTCGTTGTTTCGTCATCCCGATTACTCGGACGTTACTCTGTCTGACTTGCATTTTATGTTAGAAATCAAGCTTTCCGTTATATGTACATAGCTTGCTCTTCGATGATTTCGATATTTCATGGAAACTTACTTCTGATATTTTCACCTTTCCATGCCTTTCGACCTACATCTATGTAATTTAGTTTGCACCATTACTTTATTATTTTCGACTGGTTGTGAATATGTCAGCGGCTTATTACGTAGACCGAGCTTAAAAGGAACGAATTCGTGCCTCTTATCCTGGAAACATTTCTGTCGGATACATTTCTGTCTTAATTGCTAACAAATTATATAGAAGCTATAATAGATTCGCATTGACTTTTCATTGAAACACAGGCAAATGAGATGATCTATTATGAGTGCAATATTATCCTTTTTATATATGTACATATACTTGTGTATTACTTTTTTAAAATTATGAAAATCGCTACTTTTATACAAGAATAACTTTTCAGTCGATAAGCTGTACAATAAGCGATATATAATAATGTTGCCATTAAATTTTATTTAGACATACTAAAGAACATAAAAATACAATAAAAAGCAATATCGAAAATATGTAATAAATTTGAGTATTTGTTGTTGATGATTGTAATTGTTCAAGGTAATGCTATATTACATATAAAGGTAAATCTAATGATAAAGTAATTGATTTAATCACCGAATTTCTGTGTTTGAAATAAGACAGAAGGAAAATAACTTGTTAGCGAAGATTAATTGAGATATTTATTGCAAAGTAATTATTATACTTTAAGACGTAAGTAATGCTTTACGGATCATCTAACTAATTGTAAGTTGTTTAATTATACTTATTTAGTAATTATTTTCAACTATGCAAAGTCTACTTTTGTCTATACGTACACGTCGTATACACGTGTCACTGACATTTGCGCCTTGCACAGATTATCCGCTACATATGTATGTATGTATGTACGTGGATATATACAATAGATATACAATATATATGTGCATCTTGGCTGTTGGTGTATTTGTGGTGCAACCATGAGGATAAGTTCAACAGATGGGCCTCTTCCTCTCCTTTCTCTGTTCCACCTTACTCGTTCCTTTCTCCTGCAATTGCTTTTTTCTTCGTAGGCGTTCACATGCATAAAATATGTACGCAGTTCTCATCATTTCTATGGAAGTTGGAGTTGCTGGTGTCTATTAAATTAATTTCATAGATGGTACTTCCTTGGGAATTTATTTTCTATTTGAAATTGTACAAAGAGTAGGAATGTGCATGGTCAAATTAAGTTGTCTATAATTTGCTATTCATGTTATCTCGAACTGTCATATCGGCACTCGCTATGCAAGTGTCGTCTTCAATATTCTTTTGAAATTACTTATTATATATATAAGTAATAGTTTATGTTAATAAAATGTTTAGTATCGTTATGCCGTGTGATCAATTTGTTTGTGTCGAACTTTCCTTAATGAGAAGGAAAAATGTCTGACAACCTACAAATGAAAATTTTCATGTGTGAACGCGATTTTCTTAATCGTAAATTAAATGTCGCATGACTTGTTAACCTTATATTGTAATTTAACTTGAACTCTGAACGAGTTTCAAGTAAAAGTTTTTAGTAAGCATACATATATGTATTTATATAGGTCGTAGGTTTATATTTTATCTATCAAAATTTATTATTACAAAAAAATTATTTTAACAAGTAACTTACAGATTACTTTATAACCGTATACCCATATGTGTAATTTATATTATCAACTGATAAAACAACCGTGTTGTAAAACAATCGCGTCTTATTTATTTATTTAGGTTGGCAGTTGACAAACTTACATATATAGGTACTTACATCTTCTTTATAATCGTTTACCCGATGAAAATCTGTTTAGGATTAAATTAACTTAATTCGAGATTACGCAAACTATTAATTTAGAAAGACAAAAGACTATTACCGAATACTAAATACTGAATACTGAAGGGGTTTAGTCATTTTCGAAATGAATGAACGTGATTACGTTTCACGTTTGTTATTTTACAATTTTTTTTTATTAAGACGACTTTTCTTTCTTCTTAAATAATTAAATATTTATTTATTTGGTAATTTTAGTACTGATCGTCTTTATTAAGTAGTTAGCAACGACTTATTATTAATGATCTTTGGTAAATGATCTCTGGCGTCTGGATCGTTTATCGTGTTTGTTACCTACTGTACTGAAACTAAAAGTGCTTAAAACATTTAATATTTGTTGCGATTGATCAATTTATACCTATCTATAAAATGTTCCTTATGATCAATATGTTGGTACTGATGCTTTATTTTTAAAAGGTCTTAAAACGACAAAAATGATCGGGCAAACCTTTCAATTACTGATTAAGTATCGAGGCTGATGCTATAACGTTATGTACACAAATATCTTGTTCTGATTATAGAAACGAGTAATAGAGATAAAAAACTAGTGTAGAATCGATAATCGAAGAACGTTCAGCCTAATATAAATACATACATGCATATGTATGTGTACATAAACGTTTTTCACTTGAAGTTACTTAGAGGGCTGCGGATATTGTATTATGTCTGACGAAATGTTACTTGCATGGAATTTGTGATAACTCTTACATTGACATTTATTCTGTGCTTTTTTATGAGCCTTTTGAAGAAGATAAACAATTTCAGAAAGGAAGGATGTAGATGTAAAAAAATATAAGAATAGAATTTGTTCTTTTGTTACGGATTCTTCGCTAAATTAATTGAATTATATGTAACAATAAATCGTTTCAAATTATTGACGTAAGTTTGGTTATACAATATGTATATATTTCTATCGGCAATATAATATTTATATTGATTAATTAAGTCACGTGTGTTTCGATTCTATCAAGTTCCCTGTGAAATGAATAATCAGAAGCCCTTGGATGACAATTCATTCGGTAAAATCAACCGTACGCGATTTAACAGCGACACTATGAGATATACCTACTATGCAACAAACAAGATTGTATGTAATTTCAAATAAAAATTTGTACGACTTTCCTTTCATTAGATCATAATATTGCTACAACTTGTTTTCAGATTCCTTTCTGTCATTTTATTTAAATGCAACCACGAAACCATAATGAATTTAGACGATAAAGTCAGATTGTTCAAGTTTATTAACCTCTAGGAAATTTCACGCAAAATGAAAAAGTATCTTTATTCAAGAAAATATAATATAACAACGTTTTTCAATGAACATTTTCAATACTTTTATGAAAAAGAAGTACGTCGTATTTTAACCGATATTTTGTTTTTGTAAAAGTTACGATTAAATATTCAAAGGTGTAATATTGAAAATATACGATTAAAAATCTACCGTTAATTCGAATATGTTCAATATATTATTATTAAATACTTAAAAATTCTTTAGTTAAGTAAAATTTGTACGGGTTTAAGTTTGCATTCCAGCTTTCGCATGAATGTAAAAAATGTTTTTCAAAAGCAACCTATACAATGACTAAACTGGCAATGTTGATCTTTTGCATAAAGGGTGGATCTTTTGGTAAAGGGGGGATCAAGCTACGCAGTAGAGGAATGTAACAATTTTTTAAGTAAGTACTATTATTGTAATATGTAATATAATATATCGTATGTATATGATATATATAATATATATATATATATATATATATATATATATATTAATATACATGTGTATATACAGTGCTGCGAATAATTCTAAACACAAAAACATTTTTGCGTTGTCATTGTCTATACCTGAATATGTTAAGAGAGATTATTTTTGTAAAGGCTAAATTGAACACTATAGGATATCAGGAGATGATACATGACGAACTCTATTGCTTTTCGTAACCGAAATAGAAGATAAAAGGACAATTTTTCAACAAGACATTGCTCCCATTCATAGTCAGCTGCCACTACAAAAAAGTGGTTTCAAGATTTCGGAATTATTATCATAGCCAGCTTTTAGAAACTGTAAGTATTTACTTACTAACGGATAGTGTACCTAGCAGATTAATGAAAGTAATCAAAAGCAAAGGGGAATCCACTAATTATTAAAACGGAAAGGTAACAAAATTAACATGGAGTTTAACTTCTTTTACCCCTTTACAGCCAAAAACACAATTATAAAGCAAAATTCAATTTGTTCTTCAGCTTTGTTTTACATTATAATATTAAATTATATAAATGATTTTGTTAAACTTCGTATTAATATTATGAAAAATGTAAAAATCGGATTGGGTTTATAATTATTCTTGTCGCTGTACATGTATATAGCTTTCATCGTTACTCGAGTTTCAAGTTTAATTATAATTATCACATGATATTCGTATCACATAAGTACGCTATGTAGAACATATGTATCTATATAGATAGCGTTACGCGAAGGAAAGAGTTGATCTTTGAAGGAAAGAGTCATATGGGAAGTTTCGTTTGTATCGATGTACGATGGTGTAATCGTAATGTAAGGTGTGAAGTGTAAAGGGGTAGAGATCTTAGATTTAAACGGTCTATATAGGTATGCATCAATTTGAAGGAGAAAATCTGCGCGACCGGTTTCTATGGAATGCACGTAATATAGCTTATTAATTCGATTGTAAAGAAATCATTTTATCTACGTTTCATTTACTTTTTGCGTCTCTTGTTTTCGCCACATGTCCTTATACAGAAATTCGGACTATCGTAATATCATAACTAACTCCCTTTTTATTGGAAGGATATACAAATAATCTTAAAAAATAAAAATCCTAGATATAAATAGTTAAACCGATTACCACAAGATTACACCGAGAGGTTTTTAATAAAAAAAATCAATCCGATATTTTTCAAATAATTCGATAGTTCGAGACATTCATTTTTATTATTCAAGTAGTATGTAATTTGGAAGATAGAGTAACATTTCTTCTTCGATAGGTCAAGGTCGATTTAATGAAAAGCTTTTCCTTCCCAAGCATTTTACTTTATCGTTTATCTATTGACTATTGAGCGCTCATACATATATAGTACGTATATCTATGCATATATAATATATGTATATTCGTTATTATTGATCACTTGGAGTGAGAAAAAGAAGCAATATTTTATTCAAGTAGAAACTGAAAGATAATTTACATTTTATAGAGACCAGGATAATCCGCTAAAATTAAAAGTCGAAATTATTTTAAATAGTTGTGTTTGTCTCGTAACTTTCTATTCTATAATAATATATCATTATTATCTACTGTTACTTTCAATATGTTAACAATTTTCAGTCAACTATCAGTGTTATCTGAATAATTATTTTCAATATGTTTAGAAAGTGATAAGTTGACTTGAAAAAGAAAAGGATAATCTTGAGACGAAAGTGAAGGTGAAAATCGGCATAAGATAAAAGAAAGGTAAAGAAAATATAAAATTCAAACATTTCTAATATCAAAGGTAGACAGCTAGACGTAGAGTAGATGTAAGATGTAATTCAAATCTTGTGCCCTTCTTATTTAACAGTAAATAGAAACTGTTCTGGCAGTTTGTCAAATTGATACGTATATTTAGATGAGTATGCACGTGAAAATGTCATCTACTCCTTATCTCGAAATAAAAGACATTGATATCGTTCGAATAATCTAAGATTTTGTCAAATACATACATGTATATATACGTATATACATATATAGCTAGACTTATGTTAGTGTTAGATCAACTAGGTATTCGACTTGCTTTCTAGTGTTTTTATAAACAGGCCTATGAACACTTGTATAATACACGTTATACATATTTATATCGATATAAAATAAAACTGAATTCTTAATAAAAACCATGTATTTTCAAAGGGCATTGATATATTATTTCTAGTCGCAAACATAAACATAGCAACCGTTTTTCTGTACCGTCGAAGCTGCGCGGCAATTTATTTTCAAATTCATGGTGGTCCATTCCGTTAAATGATTAAACAGAAACGAAAGGCAGTGATTGCTTTTTACCCATGCAGCAACGCAGTTGTATGGACTACAAATATGCATTGGTAATGTATTTTTAGAAGACTACTGAGGATACTTAAAAATAAACGTACGACTGTTATTAAACAAGCCATAAATGCTTTAAACCGTACTTACGTGGTTGGCTTAGCTAGTACCTAAAATCTACGATCTATAGTAAATTATTCTTGAAAGTTTAGTTTAGTACCAAGTTATTGATCGAATTGAGGACAAGAACAATATTGTCATAACTGTCATAGCTATAGCAGATTTTCTTCAAATAATATTTTTATAACGGATGAGTCGAGACATTTAAGATATTAATTGTTATTAATATCTTGTACATATAGAGAACATTGCTGGAGAATTTCGATATAAATAAAAATTATTTTTGTATTATCGAAAATTTCTTCATGGAACAAATAAACGCGAAATATTCATTTTCTTCCTGAAATTTATAAATTTAGCGGAGCGGCAAATGCTACAAACCAAATTTGGCCTTCGCTCTTTCATTTGTTTCAATATTTTCCGAACGTTCGTTTTGTTCGTTTGCTCCATTTATCATCATCGTATATTATTTTACATCGTATTTTGACGTAAACAAGTAAAAAATTCGCGTCGCCAGGCTGGTGCGCGAACGGTTCGTTTTCTGACCCTGAGCAAAGATCAGATGTAAATACGTCAGGGCAGCGGTTATGGTTAGCGGCAAAGATAATTTAAATCGCGTGACGATCGCGGATCACGGATCACGGATCACGGATCACGGCCTAGACGCTACAAGAATTTCCCGCTCTGTAGTTTCTCACGTTTTTACTGTTTCTAGGTCTTTGTTCCTGTGCTATTTCAGCGTTACTTTAGTTTTCCTCTTAGTAAACTGCGACTGGGGGGATTCTTAATACCAAACGATTTAAACTAATTAAAAGTCGTTAATTGTTGTAACAGAAATTTTTAGAAGCTATTGCAATGAAAAGAACGTAGGTAAGAAATACGCATACTGTATCGAAAATAAAAGGTCATTTATTTACATTCGTAAAAGAAAACTGTTAATCATTCTTTTTGATGAAAAGTTAAAAGAAGAGTGGAAAGTCGGTTGTTGCTAAGAATAACGCAATGTTTATATTATTTAGTTGAGGTAAAAGTGTCCCAGAAGGAAGGAAAATGATTTGCAAAAGCTGTGAATGCTATGTCGCGTCGTGACGGCTGTTTTTACTTTCCTTCTCGCTAAACGTTAAAGCTACCGTAGCAAAGCAATAAAAGATAATTTAAAGATATTCTCGTAGCAGCACGAAAGCAAATGCCCCTAAAAGAGAAAACCTTTCACTCCGAGAAGCTGAAATGGATGTTACAGGTGAAACTGTAGAATCTAACGTGAAGTTGAATTATAAGCTTAAATTTTAAACGCATGACTATTTTTCCCTATGTCTCTTTTTTTTTAATTTTTTGAATTTCTATCTATTTGAATATTTCCTTTAATTCAGATATATATTCTGATCCTAAAGTCTCTCACGATCAGATTGAGAAACTTAAATTCTGTTTATCGTAGATTGTAAGCAACGCATCCCTTCTTTTCTAGCTCTATAATTTCACTACAAATTTATTTCATACGTTCATATGTCTTAGTAAAGCAAAGAAAAAAAAAAAAAACAAATTCTATCTAGCTGCTAATTGTTTCTTCACCAGCAAATACGTAATTAATTTAAGTTGAAATCGGATTTATGATAGATTCAACGATAAAAACGATTGTATCACAAATCACATATTAGACAGTGTACGTTATTACGTAATATAATCTATAGGTATACATAAGTACATGTAATTATGTAATTGTACCTATCTCTTCATAAGATATGAAATAAATTATTATCTACGTGTTTTTGTATTATTTTCAGGGTGGATTTGCCAAAGTTTTTCTCATGACCGATGTCAGTAATGGAAATGAATATGCCTGCAAAATTATTCGGAAGAATCGGATGCAAAAAATTCATATGCAGAAGGTTTGTATTCTACATATGTACATACATACTTATATCTCAATTTTTTATTTTTATGATTTTTTTTAATCAGTACAAAAGTAATTTATATCTTTATATAACACTATAATTACACTGTTCGATAGAACTAATTATGCATTATAACTCGTATATAGTTGATAACGTTTATTTAGTATCAAGTTTCTTTCGCAAAATTCAAAATTTTCTGACATCATGAAGGTGACATTCTTTTTAAAGAGTCGGCAAGTGCGTAACGGTTATTTGGTTCCGTTCCAAAGCATTTTTGGAATCAATAGGATATTCTTCAATTATGGGACTATTAATAAAATTTTTGTGTTCAAAAAACCACAAATCTCCACCATTCAAGGGTATTATGCAAACATGTCATAATACGTATACATATTTATAATTTTCACTTTTTAGAAAGTACGTATGTAATATGAAGCAAAGTAAGGAAACGTGCAAAGACATTTGTTTATTACAATTTACTTGCTGCTTTTATCTAAAATTAGGTAAAATTTAGATAAAATTTAGATAAGATTTAGATATAATAATAGTAGGCGTGCTTAATTTATAATATATATAAACTACTTTGAAGCAGCTAAATTGGGCAAAGACCGTCACTAAGATAATCATTTGAAGTTTTGCAGGTGGTCAGAGATGGTCGCGAGTTTAATAATGATCTATTACTTGTAGATCGCACGCGAGATTATGATCCACAAAGAGCTGAATCACGTGAACGTTGTCCAGCTGCATCACTACTTTGAGGATAACCTTAATGTGTATATGCTTCTAGAAGCCTGTCCTCGAAAGGTACCTATCGTATGTCTTGTATACCTACCTTCCTGTTGTACACTGTACACTGTACACTTTCCTACGACATATTCTTTCTATACGTTTGCAAGAATTTTCCAACCTTCTTGCTTTCGAGTCGAGTCGAGTCGATCTCCGTTGTAAGGCAAGTTCGCTTGCCTGTTACGTTAAATAAAACCTCGCTTTTATGTTAGTCAGAAAGATTACGAGGAGCTCACTCAACACTTGGAGCTTAGGGTTAACCGTGCAACAATTTATAATCCTCATAAAGAAATAAAATTGTTCCGCTGTTCTTTTCTTTAACGCCTTGTGCAATCTTCATCCTGAAACCTACCATGTACATATTTCTTCTTTCTCGGCTTTTCAGGAAGATTTGTCAACCTTTCCGACAACAGGTACTCGAAAAATAATGTGCAATACTTTGTGTAGATCTTCTCTATAGACTTTGTCTTATAAAATAGTATGTATCTGTTAAAAGTTAATACATTATATGTGTTATTGACACTAAATTCATATCAACATGCAACCGGTAAACATTAATTAGAATTTCCTCTGGATAATCTTTGGCAACTTTTATTTTCACTATGCATGTACATATTTCGTTTCGTGTAACGCGTATCATTGTTATATGTATGTACATATATATGTTGGCTAGAGTTAGAATTGTTAGATGAAACCACAAACCACAAGCATCAGATTTTCGTGTGAGCAGGAAAGAGAACTAGCACTTAGTTACACTATCATCCATGACTAATCGTTCACTTGTTTATACCGTTACGTTAGGATGTGCTGGTCCGTTAACTTTAACTTCAACTAATCGCAGATCGATTATCGTTAGCTTCTAAAAAATCGTCAACATTGCTGATATTATAGTAATTTCTTTATCTAAGATATCATTGGGAAACTGTTCTCTATAATAACAATAACAACAACAACAACAACAACAACAACATACGAATAGTTTACAACATAAGAACATATTAAGGGGGAAACTGCCGCTGAAATACTAAGAAGATGATCTGCTAAATATTAAATTATCTTTCAACAAATATAAAAGACTTAAAAATGCAATTAAGACTCGAATTTAGACTAATATTTTGCTTTTCCCTATGCAAAAATTTATTCTATTCGTGCCACGATTTTTGAAGCTTGCCTAGATAATTACCGACCCGTATTTATATGGCTAAATTACAATCGGAAAGTTTGTCTCTATGTAAAATTCATTTAGATTTTGACTAGACAGCATAGCGAATTGCCACTCTTTTCCATTTCAGCGAAAGAGAAAATAGCGTTTACGAATAAGTTACTAATTTCGAACAACGTAACAATAACAATTATCCGTAATGTGAGCAACGCGAACGTACGTACATATATACATACGTTTCGATGGGACGTTTACTTTGCAACGAACTAGCGACCCGTCGCGTCGTAACTCTCAAAGCTAACTCCGAACGAAAATCTCCGATTTACACTATGCATCATTAACTATAACACGAAATCGCATACTTTTCCTTCGTTGTGATCACATTTTCTCGAACGACAATGTGCCACGTCTTCTGTACTTATTTTATTGCCAGAGTGCAATATTTAATATTCGTTAACTTTGTATCTATAATGATATACGATATATGATTGGATAAATACATGATGTAATGTATTTATCCAAATTAAATAAGTTAGTAAAATACAAAATAAAATAGGTATTACTGCTATAATTAAGAGTTCAAATAATTTTCCTATAAAGAATAACTTGAAATTGTTTTCATATTTACCTCCCGACAGATTTCTCGACGCTTTTACTTTCGCAGAAGTTAATTCATTTCGTCAAAGCATTAAACAGAAATATTATTATACCTGTTATATATAAGTATAATACATAGATAAAATATTACACACGTGTGTGTATGCGCGCGCGTCTGTAACGGGAGTTGCGTTCAGATAAGTGAATTCAATTGATATTCAAAATGTTGTGAATTGCGCTATATTATCAATTATCAGAGACATTTAGAAGACAAGCGTCAAAGATCTCTAAATGATCCATGATTTATCCCACATTAAGCCTTTGCGTTAACTGTTAAATTAAGTTAAAACTAAGTCACTTTTGTTTGACAGAGCTTGATGCATGTGCTCAAGTACCGTGGCAAAGTTACGGAGCCGGAAGCACGCTATTACATGAAACAAATGGTAACGGGCGTTGCGTATATTCACTCTCAGAAAGTTGTTCATCGAGATTTGAAGCCAGGTAATATGTTCCTATCGGACCGTATGATTGTCAAGATCGGGGACTTTGGACTGGCGACAAGGCTTGACGGACAGTGCAGACGGGTGTAAGTTATCCTCGATCTTTCTTAATCATTTATTATTATTATTATTATTATATATTATTATTATTACACCATACCTACGTAGAACTTGGCCCAAAATACGAGAAACTGCATGCACAGTGAATTATTTCGTTTTCCTAAAGATTGTCAAATTTCTCTCTCTTGTTGATTAGTCAAAGCATATTTAATCGACTGCACATTTAAAAGTAACTAGAACTTTGAGAAACTACCTAAATAATACTAATGATATTAAGTGCTTCGATATGAATAGTTCCCTATGAACGATGAAAAGTTATTGCAATTAAAAAGTTATGAATATTTTGTAAAAGACTTATATATATATATATATATATATATTTATTTATTTATATGTGATGCAAGAAAACACCTCATTGTCAGTAAGTTGATATCCAAGTATAGGTATAATTCAAGTATAATTCAATATATTATATATATATTGAGAATACAGGAAATGATAAAAAAAAAGTAATACACATACATACTTATATTTATATGTTCCTTACATTTATTATACATATAAATTAAGAGAACCACGTTTAAACATAGGAACTTTCGCTGATTTGTTACGCTGATAGAATATTAATTTACATTCAACTTAAACTCTTGACCGATATGTATATAATATGTACAATATATGCACATATATTACTATTATACATATACATAACTATATATATGTATACATATATAGTTATCTTTTAACCTTAACAGTCTGTATACTTTTCATATTTTCGAATTGACGCAATTTGTATTTTCATGATTTATTTTGTTAATATTTTGCATACGTTACAATGTTTGATGGAACTGGTCGATCGTAAATACGTTCCTATTATTATGTAATCGAATAAAATAATCTCAAGTACGCCGATCAGGTAAGTAATTTCAATTTCGAGTTCCTCTGTAATTCGATTTACACGGCAGTAACGCGAGCGTAACGGAAACACATATGTGTGGCTTGAGAATAACAAGTAGCTTCATAATTAATACGAGTAAAATCGTAATAATTTCTTTTATATGCGCAGGACGATATGCGGAACACCGAATTACATTGCGCCGGAAGTGTTGTATAAGCAAGCATACAGTTACGAGGCGGATGTTTGGGCGCTCGGATGCATACTTTACGCCCTATTGGTAGGGCAACCACCTTTCGACACAGCGTCTCTTAAGGAAACTTACGCTAGAATATGTAACAATCATTATCGAGAGGTTGACGATTCGATAGCGAGCCGAAACGGACAAGATCTCATCAGGTGGCTTCTGCAGCCGAATCCTGAACTCCGGCCGTCTTTGGAAAGAGTGAAGGAACATGCTTATCTTACCAAGGAATATGTACCAACTTCCTTACCTCGCATTTCTTGTTTCCAAATGCCACGTACCTCTATAATCGATTCATCGCCTTCATCCAATTCTATAACGTCTAGGAATCAAAAACTTAATAATACTCAGGTAAACTACCGATTCGTATTACGACATCGTTTTTCATGTCTTGAGTTATTAGATCCGATCGCACAGATCCTTCCACACCTACGTCTACAATATTACATATTTTTGGTCTTACTATTGCGTTGTACAAATACATACATGCATATATATATATACATATACACATACATATGTATGTATGTATATCGGCTTAGGTAAGAGATTATATGACAGAAGAAACAACTTAACAACGTTTACCTAATATATATACACGGCATAAAACAAAATTTAAAGAATTTTGTATGTACACATGTAGTTTATTTTTGGATATTTAAACACAACAGTAGACACGTATCAAAAGGCAAAAAGTAAATATTTAGTCCTAATAATTCCTAAATAGCAAATTATTTTTAGTAATATTTGAATAATATTCAAACCACAAACTTTCCCAGGTGAAGTAAAATTTTTGTTTCGTTTGAATCTATAGTAATTACATTTATAGTGTGATGTATAATTCAGCAATTAATCAAATGATTTCTAATATTTGTTCTAATTTTGTTCTAATAATGTTCTAATTTTAATTAGCAAAATATTTTTCATCGTAGGAGAATATTTTTATTTCATTCAATATTTATTTAACTTTTTTATTGCAGTTACAGGTTCATACTATCCAGCAATCTCAACAGCATCAGGACCAACGGCATACACAACAGCATTATCATCAAACAAATCTTTCCCAGAAAAATTTACGAAAGTCGAAAGTGATCAGTTGGTTAGCCAGAAAATTTCGAAAAGTGCCAAAATTCAGACAAAGATTAAACAGTGTTCTTTGTCCAGATCATAAGAAAACGGGATACACCGCTCAGAGTATGCAAATGCATCAAGCGTTAGAAAGCTGTGTCACAGAAATTAAATGTAGAAACAAGCTACGTAATCATCCACCTGTAAGGGATGTTGTACCTCTGTTCATCACTAAATGGATCGATTATTCCAACAAGTATGGCCTAGGCTTTCAGCTCTCCGATAAATCTGTCGGCATTTTATTCAACGATCATACAAAAATTAGTTACACACATGACAGAAGGTCGGTATTTCTTCTTTTAACATTATACCATATATTATATTTTAAGTCTTTGAAATAAATTCTATTTCGAAAGAAACTAGATAGAGACACTAAACAATAGTTACGACATTCAAGCCTTTCGCTTTTATATTTCATTTAAGAAAAAGTAGTAATTGCAACAAAAATTGCAAGCAAAGCAAATAAATAGCTATTAGTAATATTTAGAAATTTCTATAATACTACAAACGGTTAAACATTTTTTAATCGTGTGCTTAACTTATTCAAAAATGTGGTTCCATTTGCAAAGAAGGGTGGAGTATGTGACAACCGACGATGAAGTAACAAAATATCATAGAGAGGAAGACGTTCCAGCTGCTTTGCAGAAGAAACTTGTACTATTGCAACGTTTTACACAGTACATGGATAAATTTATGACTGAAGGTAAATTATACGTGTTATACCATCTAGTTTCAAATGTGTCATAAATGGCATACAATTTTCTATTTTTGTATCTTTCAACATATTAGATTGATATAAAATATTGTTCGATTACGTTAAACACTTATCCTAATTAAAAATTAATGTTCTACCTTCGACAAGTTTCGTGTTTCGCTAGCATTGTTTTGAAGAGATGAAAAATTTGACGAAAAAAGAAATTTGAAGATGAAAAAATGAACGCTACATGTAGTTTTCAAACAAATAAATTATTAAATATGTATTAATTTACAAATACTATACAAAACGGACTAATCAAATATTTTGCCGTTGAATTGAGATTCATTTGTAAAAAAAATGTTACGAAGCAATTACTATTTAAGAGATAGAAGTGCAAAAGTACAGCTAGTGTGATTGCATCAATTTAATACTTTAATAATTTGTGTAATAATAAGGTTACACCTTACGAGTTTTATAAATACCAAGTTATTATAATTATTAAAAATATTAAAATTATAAGCAGAAAAATTATTATACATTTTATATAAAAATTTGATGCAAAGAATGTAAAAGAATAGATGTAGCTATCAACAAGTATCGTAAAACAATAAGTGGAACCTACGAAAATCAATACCTTTTCAATGTAATTTTAGCTCTATGAATATATGATTCCTACTTATAATTTTTGCTTCTATTAAACCTCATAATTATTTATAGTGTACATACTATATTATATATATTATTATTATATATACTATTATTATATATATTATACAGTTGTATTATACAGCAGGGTGGTGGTAAAGAATAAGAATTATTTGTTCATTGTGTTTAAGGTGGTGAAATTAAAAAACAACGAGTTGCATCAAAACACTCAAAAAACGTTTGTGTACCGCGAATGAGAAGATGGTTAAGAACTGACAAGACCATTATGATGGAACTGTCAGTACCGCTTTTACAAGTGAATTTCTTCGAGGATCATACAAAATTGGTAGTCTCGCAAGAATCCTCTAACAAAGGACACCTAATCACATATATCGATACCAGTAGACGTACATCTTCATATTGGCTAAACGATATACGAGATTTTGGCTGTACAGCAGACCTCTACGAGCGTTTATATTATGTTTACAAAGTATCTAAAGAATTTGCAGAAATGCATAATAACACAATCGCTTGACTATCAAAGATACATCGGAACGTGTGTTACTCGTTAAACGATTGAAGTTTATACTTTATGCGAAATATTATTGCAGTAAAAATAAATATAAATATTATATATATATACTTCTTGTTTCGTTAGCTGTGCTCGTTCGATTTTTTATACGGTTCTTTATTTTTCATGTTTAAAATTTACCCAATATAATTCGTTATAAATAAAATTGAAGAATAGAGAAGTAATAGAAAAACAAAAAAGTCATTCGAACCGAGTTTTTCAAATTAATTATTGTTTTTTATTTCTTCTATATCTAATTGGGATATGCATAATACATACCTCTGCCAATGTGCCAGACTTATTTAGATTTACATATTTGGACTATATATATTAATTTGTATCAAATTATTGCATACATCGATATTATGTATATTGATTATTAATATTTTTGTTTATTTATATTATAAATAAAACTTTAAAGCGCGCATGTACGCACGTATTTAATACTAATTTAATTTTTATAGGAAAAAATATTTATAATGTACAAAATATTTTATTAGTACCTAAAAAATATATTTTTAAGGACACGAGAGTTTGTTGCATTAAAACATTTAATTTCACAAAAGTTCTTCTGACTGAATAAAATGTAGTATTAATGGTAAAATTCCTGCGTATTACAAAAAATTTTTAAGATGTTAAAAAGTATCTGACGAACATTAAACGAAGAGTATATGTATACATAATATATACACATAACGCATATTACTACATAACGTTAAGAAAAAAAATGTTTAAAAACAGCGAGTACTAATCTTACAATGTAATACATATTTTTATATGATAAAATTGATTAAATAAGATAGTTAATAAAACTATAAAATTCAGAAACTGAGAAATGGAAAATAGAATACTATTATGTAGGTTCTTTACTATCATATATAGAAGAAATCTAACAGTTATTACAACATTTCACGCATATAATTTTTATCGACTAATTCATTTCTTATGAATTCGATTCATAATTTTATGAAATTCGAAATAGTTCGAGTGCAGCTAAACGTAAGCTACGTGATAGGCATAGTTAAGGAAATTGTATGAGGAATGAAGATGAATGTTAGACGACGTTTGTTTGAGTTCTTCGATCCAGAGATATTATCTTGTTTCCTTTCTTTTTTTACAGAATGTAGCAAAGTTGTGATGTACATATTACGTTTTGTATAAGGTTAGATAAAATGAATGATGAGACCACAGGGAGACTGACTTAAGAAATGAGGGCAATTTTACCTCGTTTTTCTTCCTTAAAAACCATTTAGACGTAAAGGTTTTCGTAAACTTTTAATTAAAGTATATAAAGCAAAGAATAGAATTCTAAAAACAATACTTGTAATAAAATGTCAAACAATCGCGTATTCATATTTTGTAAAAATCGTATCCGCAGTTATGTCGTTGACGATATACACAATCGTACCAGCCTGCGACTAAAATGATTACCAAATACAGTATCACACGCAATACCGTGTGTATACCTACATTTACTGTTGTTAGAATTCGACTAGTTTCAGAAATTTCAATTCATGCTTTGAAACAAATTAATCATTCACCCAAATCAAATGCGAAGTTTGTTTATACAAAATGGGAAAAAATATTAGTTTTAACATCATTGTTCCATTATATTGTTAGTTTATATATTTTTTTATACGACTATGACTTTTATACATCCGGATTTATAACGCCTTAACGTTTGTAATATTATTTCTTAATATCGGTTCAAAGAAGTAATCAGTTACCTTTAGACATGATTTGTATCTTACGAATATATCTATTTGTTTTTTTAATTGGAATTAAACCAAAATGTTGGGTATTTGTTTCTTCAAACTAAATACTGCATATATTATTTTTTTAGGTTTATGTTTAAGAAATAGTTTCAAAACAATGTGCAATATGCACATTCATAGTTGTTCTTCATAACTCTTTGGTTTTCATAAGATATGTGCATCTTGTCGACAACAAATGTTCAATTCGTGTGATAACACATGAACACTATCTTATATGTAATTGGTTTTAATTTGGATAGTGTAATAATGGAATAAGTATGCTTCCAAAATATTTACGAATTAAGAATATACAAGAGCATTTTTAATGTTTTGCTTTGATATAGATCATATGTATGTATATTATAGTACAAGTACTGTTACCTTTGCAAAACATTAGATCAGGATTGTTCAACTCTGTGTTCTGATTCATTGCTGTTAATATACAGTAACAATAAATATAAAATAATAACAAGTTATCTTCAACATATAGGGAAATCGAAAGAATAAATGTTTATTTTAATATATTGTTATAATAATAGAATAGTTTGTAATAAAAAAAGTAAAGAAAAAAGGATGATACAATTGTATTTAGAAATGGTATATTTATTAAAGAATGCGGTAAAACATCACACGTTCACATTCTAAGTGCCTACACTGAACAAAAGTCTGTTTACAATATAAATTAAGATTTTTTATTAGTGTAATGTAGAGAAGTTTGATTTTTTTTAAAAACATCAGTTAAAATAAAATAAAATAAAGTAGAGCACTAGTTGAACAACTCTGGTATAAATTATTTTAAATAGCATCTATCCTTTGATACTAATAGCAGTGAACATGTAAAGTTAAGCGGACCAATTAAATTGGCATACATACATATACATATAACACATATGTAGAACAGTTTTTTGTTTTGATAAATTTGGTGCCAAACGCTCGTTTGTTAAAATCACTATGTATGTAAATCACTCGTTTATTTAATATAATTAGTCCCCGTAAATTTTCACAAAAATTACTGTTTCTTAATTCTTTTAATTGTTTGATCATTTGATCATAGAATAGCATTCTTGCGTTGTTAACGTATAATTTAGTATTTAAATTCCACAAATGAAAAAAAGCAAATAGCTTCACTTCTCTTAATAAATTCATTTACAATTTTGCAACTTTGTCATTAAGGAACGAAAAAGATTCCGAAAAAGATCTCAACGAAAAATAAAAAAAAATAATCTACCCAACACTTTAACTAGCTTGGTATATGGTTTTGATAATAAACTATAGAAAATGTTTTCTGTAAATTACGGGGACTAATTGCAAGTAAAGTAGGGCGATAATAAGTTATATAATTTATACAGAAACTGAAACTCGAAGTACGCAGTAAATATACATATGAATTATAATGAATGGCAACATGTAGTAATATGTACGATACATATAAATATATATGAGTCACATTCATACCGTTTCGATATGTTTTTGATACGGTTCGATATACCCAATTATTCGAAATTGACATTCGTTTGACATCTCTGTGATGATAATTACTAACAAATAAGCAAGTGCGAATTAAGTAATAAATTGAAATTAAATCCAAATTCATATAAAAAAGGGTCAGTTTATTATTTACATATAATAATATTTGGCTTTTGGTAGCTTCAATGCTATATAAATTAAAAATTTTTTTAATGTTAAATTTTCAAAATATAAACATTGTGCCAAATTCTTTATCTTTCTCTTGGACGAAATTGTTATCTTAAAAACGATTATAACGATTAAACGATAATGTCAAAAGTTATTGGAAAAAGTGGACTTGATTAATAATTTAAGCAGTATGCAACGTGTATTAATAAATTGAATTTAGCTGATATTATGATTAAATTATATGTATATTTTGTAATGTTTGACACAAAATAAATTTTCATTTATAAAATGATTTCCATGTTTCAAATATTGATACGTCTTTTATGTTTTAATTGCATTGCTACTAAAATAGTCTGTTAATATGGCTAAAAATTGACTTAAAACTTGGAATTGTTCGCACCTGCTTAATCAAGAGATCTAAGGATCTTTAGTAATCCTAGTCACGCCGATTTTCACGCGGTTTTTCCATAGGATAAGAGTATAAAAGTGAAGAGGATAGGTGAAAATAAATTGTCATCCACATGTTTATGCCACAGCGACGTATTCTTGCTGCATGCAGGCTGTTATAATTAGATTTATTATCATTATTAGTAATACTGGCAGTAGTAATATGTTACTACTAACCCACATATATACCTACCATTATACTACGTACAATATTATGCTGCTATATATACATATATTACCACTATACACACACGTTTATACACACACATACACATATGTCATAAGTTATATCATAAGTATACTTGTTAATAGCTATTGATGTATAACTACTATAAAAACAGTTTAGGATTACTTTATAAAATCTACCGTTGGATGCTTTCCTTGAAAGTTGGATACTATCGCTTATGTTAGCTTGTTAAAAATATGTATATCAATATTGAATCTTTTTTATGCGCAAAATAGATAGTAGTGTGCATTTATGAAACATAGCGATTTAAAATGCTTTTACTGTAAATGAAATAGCAATTGAAATAAAATGTACATGTACGAGCACTTAAGAGAAGATTAATTTTTAGAAAATGTTTTTAAGCACGAAGTCACAACTGAAGCTTGTATATTATAAAAATGTTATGATGAGTTTAAAGAATGGGAAGCATCTATTATCTATTGACATAGAAACTCATTAATACGGATCTCACGTATAATATTATTGCTGACGGAGACTTACGCGTTTGTAGGTTATAAGTAGAGTTATATCAATTTAGATTGACACGCAATTATGTATATTCTGTTAGCTATATTTTACTTTTTATCGATATTTTCCACCGCTAATCATGCTGTGGCTGTTTTGTGTAATTAGATAGCAGTGAATGCTAAAGATCTCTATTTCGTTAGCATTAGGTTATACATCTCATAAGGGAAAAAGGAATAATCAAATATTTAGGTGTGCAGCAAAAGAATACACGTATATTTACATGCTCGTATTATATGTAAGTATGCAGAATTTTTTAAATTTAATATGGACGATATAACATGTATATACATATGGTATGTGGTATATACCACCATATGTAATTACATATGTACAATTACAATAATTGCGTAAATATTTTAGAAATCTTGTTACTTTTGACTTACAATTAGACAATTAGATATAGTGAATATGATCGGTGAATCTTGAAAATTGCTGTATACGTACATAAAGTATGATCACTAGCGATAGATCTATTGTTAAATATAACGAAAAGAAACGTTTCGTTATTGAAACGTGTTATAAAACTGCGATTTTGATAAGGTACATAT